CTGGAGATTTTAGATTCCAAGAGTAATAATCTGTTAAGATGGGTGTCTTTCGAAACTGTCTGTCTGTGCTGGGCTAGCTTGATTATCACTTCAAAAGGGTTTTTTCTCTTACTTAATTGGCTTCTCAGAGTTGGCTAGAGAACTCCCACCTGTTTATGCTCTCTGTATGTGTGTATATATATCTCCTCAATATATGTTCCATTCTATATGCATCTGAAGAAGTGGGCTGTAGTCCACGAAAGCTTATGCTCTAATAAATTTGTTAGTCTCTAAGGTGCCACAAGTACTCCTGTTCTTCTTTTTGCAGATACAGACTAACACGGCTGCTACTCTGAAACATGAAATTACTTATTATCTACTAAATTCTCTCCTGCTATTAAAACATGGCCCACACATCTGGGCTTCAGAGCACTCCATAATTTTTATTGCCAGACTCTGGAGATGATCCTGTGCATTATTAGTCTAAAGCCTATCAGTAGCAAGCTCAGTAACTCTGAAACTAACATTACCCTTCACAGTGACGGCAGCAAAATAACTGTGGATTGGAAGAAGGAACTGTGGTATCGGGAGACCAAGTACAGAATATGTTTATGAAAACATTTACATTGCCATTCATAAATAGGCAAGACAGAAGCAATACAAAAATATTCGACTCCATGTCTGACTCTAAATGTAAATATTTCGGAAAAAAATTTAAGACTGTAAAATAGGGAGACAGTAGCAGACGATTCATACTCTGTGCATAGACTCATAAGCAATAGTATATGTGCTTAAAAAATCCTCCCACTAAATCCATGAAACAGTGAGTTTAACTTTTAGCATTTTGCCCTTCAGAATAAATGTAATTCCTTATGAAGTTTGTGCTAAGATACCAACCACAACACCACATTATGTGAGCCCTAAAGATGCTGTAGAACTGTTTATCTTAGAACAGAAGAAACTACCAACACATTCATTTTCGTTACGTGCTCATATACTTCATTGATGGGTGTCTTATAAAAAAAAAAACCCAGCAGGTAGAATTGTTTTCTTGTTCCCAGATGGTCTGCAGGCAAGTGCTGCTGTTTGCGTATTCTGAGAAGTTGCCATTATTTTTAGTGTTTTCAAACTCATAAATATAGCAAAAATTGTATTTAGACAATATTTTCCATTTTACAGTATTTAGAGACAGACTCATCAAAATCAAGACATTTCACTGAAGAAAGGGAAAGATTTCATCTCTACATGAAAACTTCCAAGAATCCAATATAAGTGCACATCTTATCATAATTTCTACGCTTTAAAATGGTTAACATAAGGGCGATACATGAAAGTAGGAAGGACCAGAATTGAAAGTCTTATCTAAAATAAAGCAACAATTCCATTTAGCTTCATATCATCATTGCTATATAGCAGAGGTGGGCAAACTACGGCCCGCGGGACTGACCTGTCTGGCCCCTGAGCTCCTGGTCGGGGAGGCTAGCCCCCGGCCCCTCCCCTGCTCTCCCTCCTCCCCTGCAGCCAGCACTCTGGCCCGCCGCTCCTGTCAGGCAGTGCGGGTGGCAGGGCTGCAAGCTCCTGCTGCACTGAGCAGCGTGGTAAGGGAGCGGGGAGCAGGGGGGGTTGGGTAAGGGGCAGGGAGTCCGGGGGGAGGGGCAGTCAGGGGACAGGGAGCAGGGGGGGGTTGGATGGGTCAGGAGTTCTGAGGGGGGCAGTCAGGGGGTGGGAAGTGGGAGGAGGCAGATAGGGGACAGGCTGTTTGGGGAGGCACAGCCTTCCGTACCTGGCCCTCCATATAGTTTCGCAACCACAATGTGGCCCTCGGGCCAAAAAGTTTGCCCATCCCTGCTATATAGTCTTATCATCAGTACTGCTGAGGAGCAGCCCTATATATTTAGTAAATGAACTGGATAACTATAAGCAATATCAGGCATACAGCTAGCCAGTTGTGCCCTAGTAAACTAGACATGCCCTCTTGGTGGAATGCCAGGGTCTGAGGCACCTGGCATCAAGCCTTCCCATAAACCCCATACGGGGGGGGAGGGGGAGGGAAACAGCCACATGTCCAGCACGTGGGGTGGAAAAAAGTGGCTCAAAGAATGGAACCGAATCTGTGTGCCCTTACTCTGAAGAATACAGGGGGCTCAGATGAGCGTGAGAGAACCTGCTCTCTGCTCCCACCCAATGCAAGGATGAGGCTCCCACTGGAGTAACAGGTGTTGAGTTCGGAACCCGGCTGTGCTCCTCACACCCAGTAAAAGTAAGTGGGCCTTATACAGGAAAAACTGGTTTGTCCCACCCTAATGCAGGAGGCCCGAGCAAGAGAACCTGGCCTGTACCTCCAGCCCAGTAGAACGGATGCATGGAGCGGGGGGCGAGAACTGGCCTGTAGCTGCCACCCCGGGGGGGCCTGGAACCTAAGCTGTGCCCCCCGCCACAGAACACAGATCGGGGGGGGGGGGAACAGAACCTGTCCTAGGGCCTCCCGCCCCTCCAAAGCCCAGGGACCCCGGCCTCCCCCACCCCCCAGCAGGTTCCCGGGCACGTGTCTCCCCCGGCCGGGGCCCACCTGTAGCCGTAGGCGGTGAAGCCCTGGCTCTCCCGCAGCAGGGCCCGGTACAGCCGCAGCACCTGGGCCCGGCTGGACGCTGCCATGTTGCTGGCACAGTCGGGTCCTCCCGCGAAGGACCCTTCGCCCACCCGCCCGCGCAGGAGCCTGAGCTCAGGGCGGCCGCCTCAGCCCCGGGCGGGGGCGCGTGGACCCCGGGGCGGGGCGGAGACCAGGGCCGCCCCCTGCCCGGGTGCGGCTCTGCCGCTCGGCACCCAGCGCTTCGGTCCCGGCCGGCGGCCTCCGCTCGCGGCGTGTCAGGCGGGGCTCGGGCAGCTACAGCGGCAAGCCCGCGGGGCGAGAGAGCCGAGGGGGACGGTGAGTGGCGGCTGGGAGGGCCCCCGCGGGGCCCCACGTGGGGATACGGTGCGGGGCGGGGGGGACAGCCGCTGCAGGGGCCAGAGGCGCTTCCCAGGCTCGCTGCCGCCGCGTGGTTCCCCGATGTGCAGCCCTGCCTCTAGCGGGCTGCCTACCGGCCACGGGGATGGGCGTTCACAGCCTCCCCTGGGGGGCTGCTCTGGGCCTGAGACATCCCCAATCTCCCACCCCACCTCGCGTTATGAATATTACTGTGTTCCTGATTGATTTATTTAGGGACTAAGAGGGTGTTCACCCCAGATTGCACAGTGAAGTGCTCAGAACAAAGACCCTTTACTCTGCCCCCTGCCTGCCTCCCAGAGGGTTAAAGTGGGTGGAAGCTGTGTTGTTTTTGTGGATACGGACTAACACGGCTACCCCTCTGATACTTGTGTTAAGTGAAAAGTTTTCTGATGAATAGTGAGCATATTCCCCCCACACATACACACCCCTACCAGTTCAGGAAAAACTGGTCACCTCTTTGACCTTTTTGCTATTTTTTTCAGGCAGTATGATGTTTTTATCCATTTTATAAATTATAACTCCTATCGAAATTGTGTTTCAAGGTGCTGTCTAACATTCTCATTGCTAAAAGTTCAGTGACTATTTTGATCAAGATTTTGGCTAAAAATATGTGTTTTTTTGTTTTAAAAAGTCTCAAAGTTTCATGGAAAACTGGTTCCTGCAAAATGGAAGCTTTCAAAATATCCCACAAAATCTTTTCCATTTTTCAACCAGCTCTACAATCTTCATTGTACATGTTCACTTCCTGTTAAGCAAATGTTACATAGTGTTTGCTAAGTCCTTAGAAACCAGAACGATCTGTTCCATGCGCATTATTAATCCTGCAAACAAAATATTGAAAAGAGAGACTTTCCCCTGCACATTTTTGGAGCGCCTAAAACACCCTATTTTTGTGCTTTTACTGCTTATTTACTAATGCACATCAGATTTATTCTGCTGTAACTCTAGTGATACTACTCTTGATTTGTACTGGTGGGAGACCACAGTGAAGCTTACAGGCCCTGTCAATAGTGAGGAAATTTTCCTGAAAAATTAAACCAGCTTTAAATTTGGTTCAGCAAGGGTCTGACTGCAAACCTGATTGCGGGATTGGGGCAGTCTTGCAAACATTTATACATATGTGTAAATATTTGCAGGATTGAATCCTTACTCATAATTATTTGTAAGTTTCCTCCTTTAGATCCCAATCCTGCATTGAGAACCATGCAGGTTGACCCCTGTGCCCACCCGGCACTCCATTGACCATAGGTGCTGAAACTAGGGGTGCTGGAGTGCTGTCGGTGGTTGCCATCATATACAGGGTTTACAGTTTGGATCAGTTTGGCTCAGCACCTCCACTATACAAATTGTTCCAGCACCTTTGCCACTAACCTCAACAGGAGTGTGTCTCTCTGGTTCTCAGTGCAGAATCAGTGTCTTTAAATGGCTTGTGGTAGACTTCTCTGTCACATATTTTAAGGGTACTTCTTAACCAAAACATAATATCCTGCATTTGGAAAGTTGAATGTAATTAGACTTTTAGAATTGTTAAAGTTAAACGCATGTCCTACGGCAGTGGCTCTCAATTTTTCCAGACTACTGTACCCCTTTCAGGAATCTGATTTGCCTTGTGTACCCCCCAAATTTCACCTCACTTAAAAACTACTTGCTTACAAAATCAAACATAAAAATACAAGTGTCACAGTACCTATTACTGAAAAATTGCTTACTTTTTCATTTTTACCATATAATTATAAAATAAATCAATTGAAATATAAATATTGTACTCACATTTCAGTGTATAGTATATAGAGCAGTATATACAAGTCATTGTCTGTATGAAATTTTAATTTGTACTGACTTCACTAGTGCTTTTTATGTATCCTGTTGTAAAACTAGGCAAATATCTAGATGAATTGATGTATCTCCCCTGGAAGACCTCTGCATAGTCCCAGGGGTACGCGTACCCCTGATTGAGAACCACTGTCCTAAGGCTCCAATGCTGCAAACACTTGCACACCAGAATAACTTTATGAAAATAAGTAGCCCTGTTGAATTTAATAGGACTGCTGTCATGCATAAAATTTCTTGTGTTCTTAAATGGTTGCAGACTTGAGTCCTTAACAGACAAACCCAGAAAAAGGGCAGGGGAAAGGGTGTAACATTCATACCACATGGACAGACTGTTGGCAGCCAGAAGTCAGGTTAGTTCTTTGTATTACAAACCCATAAGGGGCTCTTTGGGTTGAAGTTGGGAAGAGGAAGGGATTATTGAAGTGAAAGTTGAGAAGGCAATGTGAGAGGGAGAGGTTGGGCAGTTGAAAGGTTGAGTGGTAGGAGAGGGGCAGGATGATCCTGAAGTCAATAACTAATATCAGTCCAATATTACTTGTACTTCTTTGAACTGCTCCCAAAGTTCAGTAATTTCAATCATAAAGGCTTATGGCTGATTCAGACAATGTTGCCAAACCTACAGTCACAGGAAGGCTCCACATTGTAGGAACACCCCAGATTATGGGCATATTTGGTCATATCTCGCCGAATCAATTTGCTGTTATTGCAGGGCCCTTTGGGCATTGCTGGCACCTTGGTCTCTCCTATTCTCCGTTTATTGCACACAGTTTAGTTTCATGAGGACTGAAATGCTTTGGTCTAACTAAAGTTGCGCATCCTGGGATGCATAAACCAGGGAATCTTGAATAGAGTAGAGGTTATTTTATTTCTGTATCTGGCACGGTGTGACCCCTGCTGGAATTCTGTATCCAGTTCTGGTGCCCACAATTCAAGGTTATTGATAAATTGGAGAGGGTTCAGAAAAGAGCCACAAGAATATTAAAGGGTTAGAAAACATGCCTTTATGTCAGAGCTCAATCTATTTAGCTTAACTAAGAAAATGTTAGGGAATAACTTGATTACAGCCTATGAGTATCTACATAGGGAACAAATAATTAATAATGGGCTCTTCAGTCTAGCAGATAAAGATACAGCATGATCCAATGGCTGGAAATTGAAATTAGACAACTTCGGATTGAAAATAAGGTGTAAATTTTTGGCAGTGAGGGTAATTAACCATTGGGAAATTTACCCTGGGTCCTAGTGGATTCTCTACCACAGACAATTTTTAAATCACGATTGGATGTTTTTCTAAAAGGTATGTTCTAGGAATTATTTTGGGAAAGTTCTATGGCCTGTGTGGTACAGGAGGTCAAACTAGATGATCACAATGGTCCCTTCAGGCCTTGAAATCTATGCATTCTTTGGGCTTAATATGGGGATAGTGAAATGTAATGGCCTGTGATGTGCAGGAGGTCAGATTAGATGATTGGATGATCCCTTCTGGCCTTAGCCTGCATGAATCTATTAAGTTATGATAATGTGATGACTCCTGCTTGTGGTCTGGTGTCACGTGTTGTTGAGTATGATTTGCTTTGTGCTGTTTGAGAGCTTTGAGGCAGGGTGATAGCACAAGGACTCTTGGGGGAAAAATGTCCCTGGGAAGTGTAGCAAAGGTTTCCCTCTGTCTCTTTCTGTTTAACAGGTAACTTCCATCCACCATTTTCCTCATTCTTTCCACAAGGACATACACCCTCTCCTGCAACTGAGTTTACATGGGAGTTTGATAGGTGAAGAGAGGTCATGCATTTCATCTTGCAGTTGTGGGCCCAAGATTTTGCAAGAGGCCCCAGCTTTGTTGGAATTGGCTCTGACAAAGGGTATATGTTACCTGTTGTCTGCACACACACAGCTCCTGGACAGCATATGGCTCATGGAATAAACAGTTAACTGTGAATTATGAGGTTATAATTCAGTTAGTACGTTCTCCTCGTTTATTTAATAAATGTTAGATTTACCCTCCTCTGCTCTATGGGTTATCACTCCTTTACCACAGCTGCACCATCAGCCTCCAGTTTTCTCCCATCTGTATTGTAAGCATCCAGATTTTTCCAGACCTGCAAATAAAATGGCTCCAACTTCCAGCTCTGCTGGTAGTTTTGTCACTACTAACGTAAGGTTGGCATCGTAGTTCATATCACACCAGTATCGATGATTGATTTTTTTTAATATAATATCACCAATATGTATTATTTGGTGTAGCAGTGTTTCTAACATTACAGTGTATCTATTATATGCTATTTAAATAGTGAGTTTGTCTTCAGAAAAGGTGTATTTGTGGTGCACCATTTTCACTGATTAAACTGATATTTAACTGCACCTGTGCTTGAGTTTTTTTAATTCTATCAGCTACATTTCTGATCCAGTTTACAGTGTGTTTATAAAATAATGCGTTGTGTGTAAATAATACAGATAAATACCACAATATTGACTGGAGAATAATCTTTCTGTGTGTATAATTTATACACTGTACACACACAAGTTGTTTTATTTTGGCTATCCTTTGGGTCTTGTGGAAAGCAAGCAAGCAATTTAAAATAAATTTCATTTTTGTTTAATTACATATAGCACCTTCTCAAACATTCTTCTTTGTTAAAAACAAAATTAAAATTGTTCTAAGAAACTTTAAATTGTTCTACAGAAATGCAATTAACTGAACTTTCATGGCCAGCACCATACTCCTTGGGGCTTCCTTGGTAGCTGTAGGTCACAGAATGAGGCATTGTAGGCTGGTTGTGTGAATTAAGGGAATATGAATAGAAGAAACGAAGGATTTTTATTGTCTTTGTGCCATATACCTCTCTTGTTCTGGGCAACGGGGACACTAAACACATTTAAAATGGAATTTTCCATTTTTATTTGCAGATTCTTTATAACATTCTTCCTAAAATTCTCAGAGACAACCACACTTTTTGTTTCTTTATTCATATATTTTAAGGAATCCTAAAAAAACCTGCAGTCTTCATTTAGCCAGTAAAATCTAGTTTCGAAGGCTTGGGAAAGGTTAGGTAAGTAAAAGTAGATTTACAGGCTAGTGCAGTGATGACTCCATCTCAGTTTAGTTTCCTTTCAGTCATTGGAACTAGAGCATTGGTCACTAAGCTGTGGGGTGTGCCCCCTAGGGGGGTACAGAGGAACGTTTTGGGGGGTGAATGGCCGGACCGGAGTCAGCCCCACGGGATGCAAGGAGGGAACATCACCTAGCCCAGCTCCGGCTCCAGCCGCAGCTCCACTCCACCAGGGCCGCCCAGAGGATTCTGGGGGCCTGGGGCAAAGCAATTTCGGGGGCCCCTTCCATAAAAAAAAGTTGCAATATTCTAGAATACTATATTCTTGTGGGGGCCCTTGCGGGGCCTGGGCAAATTGTCCCGCTTGCTCCCCCCCCAGCTCAGCCCCAGCTGCAGCTCCACTCTGCTCCCTCTCCTCCAGCTCCGCCCTCATTCCTTCTCCATGCCCACGCCAGCTCCGCCTCTAGCCCCAGCTCCTCCCCCATCCTCAGTTCTCCCTCCAGCTCTGCCTTCAGCCCAAGCTCCTCTGCTGAGCCAACTGTGCAGTAAAGGGGAGGAGGGTGTGGACAGATTCCATTATGGGTAAGAGGGGGTGTGCCAGGAAAAGTTTTGGCACCATTGTACTAGAGGTTCTATTGCTGTCATATTGATCTCCAAAATATGAAAGAATTATGAGGAAGAAGGCAAAATATATTAAAGCAAACCTTGTTTACAGGAACGCTGTCAGTTTGAAATCTAATCTAGTCATTAAATAAATTATTTTAAAATAATTTCAGGTACTACCCGTGCTCCCGAGTCCAACTGATAATTTTTGTGGTTTTACAAGCACATGCCCTATTTTTAAAATGTATTTCATTCTCCTGTGTCAGTATGAAAGCCACACATATATGCAAAACAAACAAAAGACAAGTCAGAAGAAAGTGATGCAGAAAGTGCAGTCAACTGCAAAAGTAAACTAAAAAAGGCCATTTCCCCCCTTTTATTTCGGTTATAGTAATTGTAGATGACTTGAATCAAGCAGTAGGAACAAGATTCAGACAGAAGTGTGTTTTCTTTTTTAAGTTGATGGTATTGTTGGATAGAGTGATTAATTTTATAAATTTGTTTTGCTTTTGCTTTTCTTGGAAGCCATGTATTGCACAAAAATAAGTGCTGCTCATCTTCAACATATGGGCCCTGATTCTTATCTTACTCAGCTCACAGATTTAAATGGGACCAAGACTGGTCCACTTGTGTTTTTATATAAACTGTGCTTTTGCTTGCTTGCTTGTTTATGTGCAAATATGGGGGCAAATTTAGTGGTGTGCATAAAATCCTTAGCCTAAAAAAACCTAGGCAAATTTCTAGGTTTTCTGAACATTGTTGGTTGATACCTTGATGGTGTTTTATTGTTATATATTATTTAGACAGCAGTCTTTGCTGCTTGTGTTCAGGTTTGGAAGAAGGAAACCTGGCTGGCCCTCTCTTTGCCTTATATCTTAAGATAAATGAGCAATTTGAGAATGATGTAATAACATAAGCATCTGGCGTACTTGATAATATTCTAAATCTGTAGTAGCAGAAAAATGAATTTGAACAAAATACCTGCCGAGACTATAGAACTGTGTGAAATGGAACAGCTGTTACATTCTCCAGGGCATATTTGTAGCTTTGTCATATGCTGCCTAAATTATTCTTTTCGGTATATCATTTCAGCTTTATGACATGGCACTCAACACTTTGAGAGAGCATGTGCTTTCCTGTTATATTGTTATTCATGTTGATTATTTTTCTTTTGGGGTTGGAATGATAATTGATTGTCATGATATTATCATCTTTTTTAATTACTGTTTTTCAACTTCTAAAAACTTGATAACCTCTTTTCCCTCCTGCTGCTGCTCTGATTCTCCTAAATCTTAATCACTCTTGCTTCTTGATCGCAATGATAGACAGTTCCACTCAGAGTTAGGTTCTGCCCTTGTTTGGATTCTATATCACCCATTGAAAATTAGGAATGCAAATCAAGGCAGAATTTGGCTCTCAGCCAATATTATCATAGTTGATTATAATTTAAAAAGTGTTTTTCTGTTGCCCACACTGGGTAGGATTATTTCCTCATAACAAATGGGTGTTCTGAATAACTCTGTTTCTAAAGTTAGTAATTTCTTTATATCCCTGTAATTGCCTACAGAAACAGAACTGAATGGGGGTGGGGGTAGCTTTCAGAAGCACTTAAGTGACTTAGGAGCACAAGCACCTTTGAGTTTCAATAGTAGTTTTGATCCTAAATCACATAGGCACTTCTGAAAATCCCACCCTAAACTTTTTACATTGGAAGAAATAACAAGAGAAAACTCTTCCATCTCTCTGATCCCACAGGAGAAGTTCTATTTATCAATGAATCCTATTGCAGGATGCTGATCATGCTTTTTCCTGCTTGCCTTGTTTGGTTTTTTATTTTTTAATTGTTCTGTAATGTGCTGGGTTAGACTTGTGGTCCATCTTGTTCAATTTACTGGCTCCAACAATGGCCAGCTTCAGAGGAAAATGCGTGAAACCCCAAAGAAGTCAAATGTGGGAGAATCTCCTCCCATGAAACCAACTATTTCAAAATCTCCTCCCTAAAACCTAATCTTCAAAGATTGGATTACAACCTGAAGCATGAAGCTTTATATCCCTTTCAAAGTGCTGGCATTTGTTTATTGGAAACCATGAGCAGGGGCTTGAACTCCTAGCTTCCATGGCCCTGCCCTATACCCTTACCATGAAGCTACCATCACTGTCTCTATTAAGTGAATATGTGCTGAAGATTGGGCTCTTAAAATCTTGCACCAAAGTAGGTTTTCCCATGGCACAGGCATTTCTGCAGGAAATTAACTGGGTCTTGATGTCTGTCAAGTGCTTTGCAATCCTTGAATTAAAAGTGCTAGAGATAGTTTTGTGGTGAAAGGATTACACTGGAACTCAGGACATCAGAAGATATATATTAGCATATTTGCAATCCTTAAGGATGCTCACTTTGTAGTACCTTTAAGACTAACAGACGTATTGGAGCATAAGCTTTCGTGGGTGAATGCCCACTTCATCAGAAAGTCTCCAGGTTGGAGAGCTCTTTCTTGATGTTTTTCTGTTTGCTGTATAGGATGCTGATCAGGTGGTTCCTCAGTTTCTTTGATAGTGTATGGCATAATCTCTCACTGTGGTCTGTGCAGTATGTAGATAGCAATGGATTTTTCACCTTCAGTCCATTTGTCACCTCCAGTCCTCGCCCACAGACAACCCGCCAACCTTAAGCATATTCTCACCAGCAACCACGCACCGCACCATAACAACTCTAACTCAGGAACCAACCCATGCAACAAACCTCGATGCCAACTCTGGCCACATATCTACACCAGCAACACCATCACAGGACCTAACCAGATCAGCTACAACATCACCGGCTCATTCACCTGCGTCCACTAATGTTATATATGCCATCATGTGCCAGCAATGCCCCTCTGCTATGTACATTGGCCAAACTGGACAGTCACTACGTAAGAGGATAAATGGACACAAGTCAGATATCAGGAATGGCAATATACAAAAACCTGTAGGAGAACACTTCAGCCTCCCTGGCCACACAATAGCAGATGTAAAGGTAACCATCTTACAGCAAAAAAACTTCAGGACCAGACTCCAGTTCATTTGCAAATTTGACACCATCAGATCTGGATTAAACAAAGACTGTGAATGGCTATCCAACTACAGAAGCAGTTTCTCCTCCCTTGGTGTTCACACCTCAACTGTTAGCAGAGCACCTCACCCTCCCTGATTGAACTAACCTCATTATCTCCATACTGATTTATACCTGCCTCTGGAAATTTCCATTACTTGCGTCTAATGAAGTGGGCATTCACCCACGAAAGCTTATGCTCCAGTACTTCTGTTAGTCTTAAAGGTGCCACAGGACCCTCTGTTGCTTTTTACAGATTCAGACTAACACGGCTACCCCCTGATATTTGACACTTTGTAGTAAATCTGAGAGATACCACTAACCTTAATACTGGTATTGTTTCAGATATTTTTTGTGGACAGAAACCCTGCAGGCAATGAGGGTATTTTCATTGCATAGTCATTTGGCATAATGAAATCTTGATGACAAACTTAATTATAGAAATCGGAGATGGACTTGGCTTGTTAGGTGTTCTAGTCTGTCACTGCATCAATTCAGAACTGTTTTCTATGTTATACTTTTTAGTGTTTTGTCCAGTCATGAATAACCTTCCCTTCCCTTGAGGAGAATATTCCCCTGTATAACAGATCTCACCGTTAGGGAATGTTTTCTCATATTTAGCCTAAACCGTCTCCTTTTCTAATTTAATCGCATTACCTCTAGTTATATCCTTCAGAGACAATCTATAAACGATTTCTCTCTCTCCTTGGTGATTTACGCTATCATCATATTTTTCCATAGTTGTCATTCAGCCAAGCTAACATATTTAGTTAGTTTCATTTTTCTTCCTATTTTCTTCCTATTTCTTCCTGATGTTGAGATTTAGAATAGAAAGCAAACTATAGTTCTGGAAAACAAGAAATGATACTTTATTTCAGAGTGACTGAATTTGAATTTTGCTGTGGCTCAGAGCCACCACTTTATTCTTGGCTCACTCAGAATATCTGACCCAGAAGTTAATCACAAGTAGGATCACAAATCTTTAAAAAATGCTGCCGTGATTGCAGTTTAAAAAAACTCTTGCTATACAATTTTTTTTAAAAAGCTTCACTTTTGCCATGGACATTACTCTATGATATGTTTCTCTCCAGGCTTTTGTCCTGTTTGTTGGCATCCATTTCCTATAGGTGTAGCTGATGAGTTTCAGGGACCATATTTTCATGCTCTAGTTGATTCAGTGATTCTCTAGGCAGACCAGACAGTACTATGCCCACCTACAATGAGAAAATCAAAAAGTGTAATACTTTTCTGTCATCTGACCCACAACCAGTATCTGACCCACAACCAGGATCAAAACTTCATTTTATTTAAAAAAAATCAACAATATATTGTATTCCATACATTCAGGGAATTATAATAACAATAGACTTCCAGCAATAACTTATTTGCAGTCTTTCTGGAATTGGTATTCTTTCACTATTCTATACAATATCACCTTTCATGACTACAATGCCTGTGGCCATGGAACCTGCAGTATCCACAGTCAGGACATTAGTGGAAGACATGCAATTTAGTAGAAATTCCTGAGGGTCTGGGAAGTCTCTCAGAAGCATAAGGGTAGACGGGTGTGGGTAATACTCTCTATATCAGGCCTGCACAACTTGTAAAGCGGCGAGGGCCATATTACTCCAAAGAAAACAACTGAGGGCCGAACCCCCCCCAGCGCTACCCAGCCCCCCCGAAACACAACACCGCCCACAGTGCTGCCCGCCCCGCGGAAACAAGCCCCAGCACTGCCCAGACCCCCCGAAACTCCCTCCCTCAGCGCCGCCCGCCCCGTGGAAACAAACCCTCCTTCCCCAGCACCACTGGGGAAGGGGGGGAGGGATAGCTCAGTGATTTGAGCATTGGCCTGCTAAACCCAGGGTTGTGAGCTCAATCCTTGAGGGGGCCACTTAGGGATCTGGGACAAAAATCAGTCCTTGGTCCTGCTAGTGAAGATAGGGGGCTGGACTCAATGATCTTTCAAGGTCCCTTCCAGATAGGATATCTCCATTAATTTAAAAAACAGCAGTATTGAACCTTTGTAATATGTTATAGTGGGCTCCTGAGGTAGTATAATTAAGGTAAAAGAAAAATGTCTTTTAGCTAGAAGTAGAATAAGATCTTCCCCCCACTTTGTAATCAATTGCCCTGTTGAATGAATGAGGTAGGCATGGAAGGCAGCACCTACAGACAGCTGCAACCCTTGGAGAGGGGATGGGAGCCAGACCAGATCAGTAGATCAGGTCAGCCATCAAGTCCCTGCTTGCCTCCTCAACCCCCCTCCCCCACCGCCGGGTCACCTGCAACCCCGCCACTGCCTGCCCGCTCGCCTCCTCAGCCCCCCCCTCCCCTGCTACCAGCTCGCCTGCCCCTCCGCCACTGCCCGCCCGCTCGCCTCCTCAGTCCCCACCCCCTCGGCTCACCTACTCACCCCCCACCACTGCCCACTCGCCTCCTTGGTCCCCCCCCTCCACCCGCCACTTGCCTACTCACCCCCCGCGGGCTGCACAGTGAGCCCACATGGGCCGCATGCGGCCCCTGGGCCACATGTTGTGCAGGCCTGCTCTATATATTCACTATCACCTCAAAAAGGACGACTTTTTTTCTTCTTCTCCTCTCCCTAGGCTTTTATCCGCAGATGATACTGAATTTGTGTCTCAAGCCTTCTGAAGGAAAGGCAAGACCAGAACAGTAGGTTGACCAAAGCTTACGGACAAAGGAAAGGAATTAGAACTGAGAAGAGGACACCTCTTGATGCAAGTAAGTATTTAAATTCACACAGAAATTGAGCTTTCTACTACTCCTTTTCCTCAGCTATCAGCCATTTAGCATGAGTATTCTTGCCTTCAGGAGCACACTTTCTCAGATTCTTCTTTTAAAATAGAAAACTAAGTCTGTTTTCATATTTGGAGTACCATGCCAGACTCCTGCCTTTGGCCTTCTTATAGTGTTAATGATTTCTTCATCCCTAATACTTTATCAAAGGAAGTAATGGGATTCAGGGTAGTGGAGGTACATAGGTAAGGGACAGATTCTGCCACATTTACTCATGTTGATTTGTATCTTTCTCATCAAATGGTCCTATTAAAATCAAAGAAACTACTTGATGAATAAGTGACTCCTCAACATGAGAAAGGATAGCAGAATCTGGTTCTAAGTCAGAGGTGGGCAAACTACTGCCCGTGGGCCACATCCAGCCCATGGGAGTGTCCTGCCCAGCCTCCGAGCTCCTGGTCCTGGAGGCTAGCCGCCGACCCCTCCCCTACTCCCTCCCCCCCCATCCCCCCGCAGCCTCAGCTCACTCGCTCTGCCACCGGTGCAATGCTGTGGGCGGCGGGCTGTGAGCGCCTGGGGCAGCGCAGCTTCAGAGCCCGGCCTGACCCAGTGCTCTGTGCTGTGTGGTGGTGGCGGCATGGCCCTGCTCCATCCGGGCGGCGCAGCTGAAGCGCTGCCAGCCACCAGTGCTCCAGGCAGCGTGGTAGTGGGGCAGGAGGGGGGGGGGTTGGATGGGCCAGCTGGGAGCAGTCAGGGGCAGGGGTTCCAGGGGCAGTCAGGAGACAGGGAGAAGGGGTGGTGGGATGGGGCAGGGGACCTGGGGGGCCGTCAGGAATGAGAGGAGGGGTTGGATGGGGCAGTTGAGGTCTGGGGGCGGTCAAGGGACAGGGAGCAGGGGTATGTGGATAGGGCAGGGTCCCAGAGGGGCCATCAGGGAATGGGGGGGGTGGGGGCAGGTAGGAGCTGGGGCCGGGCCACGACCCTCTCCCCTAACCAGCCCTCCATACAATTTACGAAACCCAATGCGGCCCTCAGGCCAAAAAGTTTGCCCGCCCCTGTTTGCCCGCCCCAATCAGTAAGTGATTGACTGACAAACCATAACAGATACAGCAGTTAGAATTTAATGTAGGATTTTCTAGGGAACATTGGAGAGAATTGAGACTTTCTGCTTCAGAAACGTTGGGGTGTGGGGTATTTTTTTCCCAAGTATGCTTCCAAGATCTATCTTGACATCAATTTTTGGCATTATACTTATTTTGTTTTTCCTTGCTTCTTAGAATTTTTCTTACCTACAACTTACAATTTTTATGCAAGTGATTTGCACACTTATTTTCCTTTTATCTCTTTTGGAGATGCTGCCTTGTGATGGGTCTATGTTTTTTAGAATCTATAAAATCAGATGCAGAGTGAAAATAACCAAATCAAGATTTTTTGTAAAATTTTCATCTATGTTTACAAAATGAAATACAAAATTTCTATTGAACTTTTTATTTTTATTTCTTGGGTCTGGAAGGGTATTTATAGTGCTTTCATCACTAAAGTTTCTAAGCACCATACTATATAGCTTATTGCTTTTTCTTTTGCTTTCATTGTAAAGCATATCTTTCTAGAAATGTTGGCATTCGTTCACTTTTATTTTAACTTATTAATGGCTGTCAGTGGGCACTGAGCCATTACAAACATAAAAGAAGACAGAGTCCCTTCCTTGTGGAGTTCATGATCTACAGATGGACAGATACAGCATACAGATCTCAAAATAGGAGGTGACCAGGAAATGGTCAAATATCTAATCTATATGGAAGTTATTTTAAATATGAAAAGCTACCTGTTTCTTACATTGGCACGTTAGCCTTGGTATCACGGAGGAAGTGCATTATGAACAGGGAGGGGGATGCTGCTTGGTGAAGAAAGATTGGGTGGGAATTTCTATATGTTTTTGCTGTTCGTGTTTACAGTGTAGTTTATTCTCTTCCTTCCCCATCCAGTCCTTTTTTCAGGAAGGCCGGTGAAATCTAAACTCTCTCTCACTGTGGTATAGACATTTTATTCATGCATTTTTTTTTTAGTCAATTACTATAATATCCGAGCTATAATTAATGGAAAAATCCATTGATTGAACTAAGACTTGCACTAAGGATAGGGAAACATACTTATTCTGATTTCTTTTCCCAGACTGCCTGTGTAGTATTTTTTTATTGATTTTAAATGAATACTGTTTAAAGCCTTACAAGGTCTGACTTCTCGTTATTAAAGTGATTTACTTTTTTTCCTTATTATCTCCTCTGTTCATTTGACCCTGGTCGTCTTATTGTTCTCACTTCTCATTTCAAAACCCCTGGTGATTGAGCCTGCAGGCTGTGTGTGGAAGTTGATTCTTAAACATGTCACAGACTGCAGTTCCCCAAATGGTTATAAAGAAAAAGCAAGAGGCAAATCTTACTCTTTAGCTCAGATTGTTCTAGTACATAAAGAAATGCAATGTTTATTGATTGTACTTGTATCATAGGGAGCCCAAGGCATAATGACACTAAGTGCACTTCATTAATAATAAAGGATGGATTCTTTGATGTTATATTCTGCTTTTCTTGGCCTACTGTATCTTTTGTCAGCCAGCAAGGGACATTTATCTTGGCTGGAAATGTGTTCTTTTTGTTTTTGTTTTGTCAAGAAAATGTCTCCAAGTACAGTTGCTTTTTTGTAAAGATAAGTATGTTGAGTTCCTCTCATATTTTTCACTAATGCTGGCATTGGAAGTAAATATTATTTTCTGGCATCTGGGGCATAGAAGAGTTCTCTGAGATGATTAAAGTGTGTTGTTTCCTGGAAGCCTTTCAAGCAAAAGTTCTTCTAGGGTGTTTCATTCTCTGTGCTGTTCCTGGAGGAAGCAAATCAGTGTTATCAAGCCCTCTAGGGTTTGATGCAGGACTAGCATTATGGACAAATAAGACAAGCATCTATTTTGGGAGTCTTGGAACTCATGGGTTAAGATGTATTATCTTTTCCAATAGCAGGTACAAAGGTAGAGGAAACTATTATTATTATTTGTATTGCAATTACTTCAGACTTTTCTACACCCTTTGACAGCAGGACCAGAAGGACAAATGACTTCTGGCCCTATTTCTTATAATCTTTCTCTGCTTTGGTTGGGACCTCACACATCACTGGGTTGGCCCTGCTTTGAGAAAACTAAAGAGATATAAGGCCCCTTTAACATGTTAAGTTTGATAGTGTTCAAACATGTTTAAAAACAATATTGTCGTGACCATGCTATAACAATTTGAACTTGCATGGATGAATGAGACCACACTATGCTCTAGCCTTGACCTGTTAGAGAACCAAAGTACAGTTGCTTCATGTAATTAGAACAAGACTTGGTCCCATTGATACAGGTAAGACCAATTCATATTATATCTTGGCCTGTGTTTAATAGTGTAGATGGAACTTTACTTTGAATAATTTTATAAAATGCCTGATGGACCTTTTCTCAACAGCGTAATTTCTAGCAGCACGTTATGACTTCCACTTGGAAACTCTCTGAAGAAAATCATATTTCTTATTATAGTTTTTATCCTCCCTAGATAGGCCAGAAGTGTAATTCTGCAGTTTCTTTAATGCAAACATGACAAATATTTCAATAATCTAAACAGAATATTTATAACACTGCTACTCTATCTGTGGTAACCGTGTTTTCCCCATCAGAGTTTAAAACTGGGGAATATTTTATGGGAAATTGTTATATTTTGCTCATGGGAAATTGCTTACACAATGCATGAAGATATATTTTCTGAATTATTTTTAAAAAGTGAATATTAAGGCCCTGATCCTGCAATTTACAACGTACAGGAAGACTCCTTAACTGGTTCAGAGCGTTATTAAAGTCAATGGGGCTCTGTGGAGGTACAACCACCTTGCCAACCTGTTGTAAATTGCAGGTTCTAATGAAATATGAACTGAATAGTTAAGAAATACGATAAATAAGTTTATTAAAAAGGCTGAAATAAAAGAAAACAAACTGGAAACGTTCAGCAGTGGAATCTCATTTTGCTTTTATTTTGCCTTGTGACGTTTTATATTGCCATGAGACTGACTTTATTGAAATAGATATTGTGATTATTCGAGCCTTGTTGACAGAGCCATTCTACTGCTTGTGAATCTTTATATGTTTCCAACTTCTGATACTGGTGGAAGGGAGTGGAATGAACTCTCAGTTGGAAAACCTGCCTTGCTTATCTCCTTATTGACTACTGCACTTTGGATTAATACATTTGCCCTTGTAAAGGTATTTTCTCTGCCTGGTTAGCAGTTTGGGATGGAATATGAATTACAGTAGAGACTCTTTAAATAGATCCACTTTGCTTCAGCATACTGTGTATATACACTATTTGTGTAAGTCATCAGGTTTGATTTTTCTCCTTGTGGAATGAAGAGCTCTTTATGCTTGTACCTCACATTAGAAGAAATGGAAGACAAATGCCTGAATTACTTGCATGTTGATGGGAGAAGACATACCTAGTATTGCATTAGTTTTCAATTCACTGAGTCAACAGAAAAAAGGCACACTATCAAAAATGGGGAATTATGCTAAAACACTAAAGCCTTCTTGTATTATGTTAAAAAAAGTCAAAGTAAATTTAATTTTAAAATTATGACTATATATTTGTTTAGTACAAGTTATGGGCATCGCTCTAAACGTTTCAGCTACATGGACTTCTATTAAGCAGAGGGTGAACCAACAGCATGTTAAAAACTAGGTGAGTCATACAGACTATCATAGCAACAATCATAGCTGGATGAACTTATGGGAATCATTCACGATTCCTAAGCAATAGTGTGTAGCTCATCTACATCTTACTCAACATTGTTTCATAGCCTCATATACAGTGGGCTAGCAGCTGAGTTTAAAAACAGTGTTTAAACCTGGTTTCAGTATAATTAGTTTTTAACACACTTTTTAAAGAAGGCCTTAATGTTGGGCTGGATCACCT